GCCCAAAACTCTGAATTGGGTTGGATCATTTCGGGACCAACCAATTTTGATTCAGCCGTGGGAGCACAAGTAACAACGCTCATTTCAGTTGTCGACGTGGAACAACGTATATCTGAATTTTTCAAGCATGATGATATAAAAATCGACGATGACGAGTGCGCTCTCACTGAAGAAGAACAAATGTGTGAAAACCACTTTCAAGAAAACACTATTCGTTTGGAAAATGGAAGATATTGTGTCAAAATGCCATTCAAAAATGGAAAAAATGCACCAGATTTAGGAAACTCGCGAAAATGCGCCATTGCAACATTTTTGCAGCTTGAAAATCGATTCAAAAAAAATCCTAAATTGGCAGAAGAATATAAAAAATTCATTCACGAGTACATTGACCTAGGTCATATGGAACGATCGGTTTACAATCCAAATATCACATCGTATTATTTACCACATCATTGTGTAATACGAGATAGCACAACTACGAAACTTCGGGTAGTGTTCAATGGCTCTCAAAAAACTGACAACGGAAAATCTCTCAATGATGAACTTGCATTGGGTGCCATAGAACAAAAGGACATGTTAAGCATTCTAATCAATTTTCGCATTTACAAATATGCATTTACGGCTGACATTGAGAAAATGTACCGCCAAATTTTAATCGACGAAAGCCAAAGAGACTTGCAAAAAATCATTTGGCGTGATTCCCCTGAACTACCGCTTTCTGAATTTAGACTTATCACGGTCACATACGGCACCAGTCTCGCTCCGTTTTTATCACATCGCACTACAAGACAACTTGCAATCGATTGCGAAAATGAATATCCAGAAGTATCAAATACCATAAGAAAAAACATGTGGGTTGACGATGTGGTAAAAGGTGCTTTTACTGAGGCAGAAGCAATACAATTGTGTAGCGACTTGCGCAAGGTATTCAGCAAAGCCGGATTCAATTTACGAAAATGGTCTTCAAACAACGTAAATGTGCTGTCCGCAATTCCGGAGAGTGATCGTGAATTGAAGGCTACAAGCAGCAACGTGAAAGCGTTGGGCATAAAATGGTCGCCGTCTCAAGATGTTTTCACATACGAACTCAGTTTAAAAAATCATTCAAATCCATTTACAAAAAGATTGCTACTATCTGAAATCTCTTCAATGTTCGATCCACTTGGCTGGATATGTCCAGTAGTAATTTCGGCGAAAATTTTGGTACAAAAGTTGTGGGAGAAAAACGTCGATTGGGATGAAATTGTACCGAAAGAAATCGCTGAAAAATGGTTGGAAATAAAAAGCGAATTGCATCTCATTAATGACATCAGAGTGGAACGTTGGATAAATTACAATCCTGAGGATGTCATGGAGTTGCATGGTTTCGGTGACGCAGCGGAACCAGCATTCGCAGCTGTGATTTACATTAAAAACGTCACGCAAAACACGGTGCGATTATTAATCGCAAAAAATAAAGTAGCTCCTCTGAAAACAACGAAAGACGCACTCACAATACCGAGATTGGAATTGTGTGCAGCAAATTTACTTGCCAAATTGACGAAAGGCGTTTTAAAAGCAACAAACATAAAATTCAGCAAAATTTTTCTTTGGTCCGATTCAAAAATAGTCATCGATTGGATTCGAGGAAATCCGAAGCGATACAAAAAGTTTATCGCACACCGTGTTTGTGCAATAGATAGGGCAATTGGAACAAAAAACTGGTATCATGTTACCACTGACAAAAATGCAGCAGACTGCGCTTCACGCGGCATGTTGCCATCGGAATTGCTGAGACATGAAATGTGGTGGAATGGCCCACAGTTTTTGCGTGAAAACAATTACTATGCAAACAATGCAAGTCATTTAAATAACATTGACCCAATAATTGAATCACTCGCATTAGGTGTAGAAATCTCTCCAATTTCAAACGAACAAATTCTTCCTGAAGTCTCGTCGTTCAACAAAATGAAACGAATAATCGCATACTGTTTTCGTTTTGCATCGTTATGCAAAGCAAAACAGGGGCCCAAAGCATTGTCTCCGATTTCGGCTGATGAGCTAAATTTAGCGGAAACAGCAATAATAAAAATCATTCAACGGGAGGCATTTGGTGCCGAAATAAGTGAATTAATGAAGAAAAGATCAGTAAATTTTTCAAGTAACATTCTGAAACTAAGCCCATTCTTAGATGAAAATAACATTCTGCGCGTAGGTGGCAGACTACGAAATTCGGATTTGGTGTTTGGACGAAAACATCAAATCTTAATACCAAAAAACAAGAGCGTAACAACTTTAATAATTCGTCATTTTCATTTATTATGCATGCACGGTGGAGCGAAAGCCACTGAAGCAATCATCAAACAGCAGTTTTGGATTGTGAATGCACAAACAGAAATAAAGAAAATTTTGCATCGTTGCATTCCTTGCTTCAAACAAAGACAAAAAACCATGTCACAATTAATGGCAGATTTGCCGGCCAATCGCGTAAACATTGTTGAAAAGCCATTCACCAACGTAGCAGTAGACTACACCGGTGCAATTCCATACAAAACGGCAAAAGGTAGGGCTGGTAAAATTTCTAAGGCTTACATTTCAATATTTGTCTGTATGGCTACAAAGGCACTTCATATCGAACTAGTATCAGATTTAACAGCCGACGCGTTCATAGCTGCCGTTCGCAGATTGGTAGCGCGTCGTGGAATGATCAAGAGCTTCAACAGTGACAATGGCACAAACTTTGTAAAAGCTAATAAAGATCTAAGTGATTTATTTGAAATCGAAAAAGAAGAGTTCAAAACAATCTGCGATGAACTTTCAAAGCAAGGCATTTCTTGGCATTTCTCACCCGCTGGTGCGCCTCATTTCAATGGCCTCGCCGAGGCTGGTGTGAAAGTTGCAAAGACTCATTTAATAAAAACAATCGGAAAAACTGCGCTAACATTTGAAGAATTGTCCACATTATTGTATCAGGTGGAAGCATGTGCAAATTCAAGACCACTTTGTGCACTATCTACTGACCCTGATGACATCGATTGCCTAACACCTGGACATTTCTTGATTGGGGCACCGTTACTGGCACCACCCGACGAAAGCTACATCGAAACGAACGTAAACTGGCTTTCACGTTGGCAATTGGTGCAAAAAATGAGTCAAAACATTTGGAAAAAATTTCAAACGGAATATCCAAATGAATTGCAAACCAAATCAAAATGGTTTACGAAAAAAGAAGAGCCAAAATTGAATGAATTAGTTTTGGTAAAAGATGAGAATTCACCACCATGCTCTTGGCCAATGGCGCGCGTAATCGACGTGCACAAGGGTCATGACGCACTCACGAGAGTGGTAACACTTAAAATGCGCAATAACACTTTCACTCGACCAATAACCAAAATCGCTCCGTTGCCGATTGAATACGATGCGGAGACCCGGGCAACAATTAAAGCACACATTGCAAAAACTGAAACAGCGAGTAAAGCACGGGTTACAAAATCCAAACCGGCAAAACAAACATTTAATGTCATTCCGATAATAACGGCATTGCTTGCAATTTTTGTGATTCAAGTGAATGCTCACCCAAATCAAATCGTTCCGTTCAAATTGAATAAATTTGACACCTCGCCGGGTTTGTTTTTCGAACAAATTTCGCATGCAAAGTTCAGTTACACCAATTGGAACTCGATTGTTTATGTAAACATGAAATCATTTCTCAACGAAGCATCGATGATGGAAAGAAGTTTACATGATTTAGAAAACGTATGCAATCAAAAACTGGCGGGGCAAAGCTCATGCAAATCTCTTTGTCAACTAATTGAAAATCGTATCAACGACATCAATGAACGAAATGAGTTAATAGTATCGTTTAAGCATCATCGAGCAGAAAGAG